ACAGTATTTTAAATTTAAGCCTTGAGGAAATGACAAAGGTGATTCTTTGTTTCAAATGCCTTAGCAGAATTATTTATTTCAAGCTATGAGATGGACTTAAATTTCCAGGGCTTATCCTGCAGCTGCTGGCTTTCCTTTTACTTTTAATGAATTTATTTTAAAACAAAAATAGTGGTGCATAACTTCTCTTCGGTTTCTTTTGTCAATTCTCTTCCACACCACCATGGATTTCACCTCCTTTGTGTAGCTGATTATTTGGCTCTGTAAAATGATAACAACTGCCATGCAGAGAGCTCTGTGCATTATAGCTATGGGAGCTACTCTTCCTTCCCCACTAATTATTAATTTCATACAGCAGCCTTTATTCAGAATTGTATGGATATCACCATCCTATATCCCCAAAGAATTTTTTGGCTTCAGTTTTTTTCAATGAGTAAAAATAAGTATAAAGAAGGATAGAGAGAATTGTCAATTGTTTTTTTTCAGTTTAGAGTTGTACCCCAGAAGCATCACTGCAATTTTGGATTCTGGGGTAGAAAGCTTCTCCCTCAGCCAAACAACCTCTTACATTTTCTCCTTACCTAGAGGAAGACCACTCTTATTTAAATAGGTGTTCTAGAAAAAAAAAAAAAAAATTCTAGTTGAGGAATTTCACCACTCTCAACACTGACAACTACCAGACATTAAACTCCCCTTGCAGGGAAGATGCCACTGTAAAAAACACCAGGAAAAATAGAAAAGAAAATACTGGAGACATGCCAAGCTACATCTAGTCTGTTAAACAGATGAGTTCCCAATCTATGATGAGTTTTCAATGCCTTGAAAGAGGATCACGAGGTTCCTGTGCAAATGAATAATATCTTTAATCAAAAGACTACTAGATCTTTTCTAGGAGAGCTTGTTCTTCCTGATTTAAAATGCAAGTCTGCTCTTCCCCCAAACTGAGAATGCTCTTCTAAAGTAAAAAAATAACAAACAACCAGAAAACCACAAAAAACTCTTATAAAAGAATGAAGCACCTGAAAAACACAATTATAAAATCTGAAGATGCTGCCAGTCTCAACCAAAATGGAAGTCATCTGGACTTTTACTACTTCACAACCTCAAAAGCATGCTCTAAAAACATTTTTCCCTTTCCTTAGTGATGTAAAATATCTTATTTATCCCTTTATAGTTATAAGGCTTCAAAAAATAATACCTTTAAGTACAAATAACATGTCTCTAAGACCCCAAGTCACTGGAACAGTCAAAGCTTTCATGAAAAGCTTTCATTAAAAAAAACCCAAAACAATATTCATGTTACTGTAATCCTTGAATTTCTTAAAGAGAAAGCAAAGAAGGTGGTATGTCAAGGTTGCTCCATCAAGTTGAACTATTAACTCAGTGTGTTTTAGTTCCTACTTTCACTGTAAGTTTATCTTTACCTGGCTGTTTCATATTTGGTAACAAAATATTTGATATTAAATATGATTTATTTATTAAACTGTCCCTAAATCTCCACATTTTTCTCTGGCAATGTTAAATTAGTATAATACATTTTAAATTGAAGTAGTATTTCCTTATCTGCAGACTTGACAACAATTGGACTGAGGATAAACATTTTTTTTAGGACAAACGTTTGTCAAGCATGAATTTCTCACAAGTAGAAGGCATCTGCATAAACCTTCCAGATGTGGATCCCCTCTGGGTCTCCTTCCTGGCCTCTCTGGAACAACATCCCCAAAAAAGTCTAAAACAATACCTGGATCATCCCTGCCAAGGAAACACTCATCTTTTCTTCTTTTAAACAAAATATAAGTGATGAAGGAAAATTTCGCTGCCTAATTCAGCACAAGTGTGATCTTCAAACCTTTATTGTTCTTCTGCTAAAACTGCCTAACCAATGAAGTGTAAACAACCCATGCTTTAATGGTTTTTTCCATTTGCTTTCTTATATATAGTCATATAACTTCTAATGCATGTGTTGGTGGAAAAAAACAACATATTTTATTTTAATAAAGAAAATTAATGGATGGCAAATTACTCTTTTAAACCAACGAATCAAAACTCCTAATCATGTTTCTCTGGTCTAGAGGGTAAAGGAGAAGTGAACAAATTCATTCCACTTTTACATGGAAATTTATTTTCCCTCACCTTCATAACCTAAATGTTTTACAGATACACAGTGGTGCTACAGTTTTTAAAATACATCTTTTCTAAACCATGCAGATGAAAATGCCCTTTCCTCTATGGATTTGCATCTTGAAGAAAATAATAACATTTTCAATGTTTTTGAATTTTTCCAATTATTATTCCTAGAGTTACTTGTGGCACTTTGACTGTAAGCCATTCTGCCTCACCTATTTGCAGAAGACCAGACTGACCCTTTGTGATCTTCCAATTTCACAGATTTACTGCATCAGTGAAGGAAAATTCCTTCCCTTTAATACTATGCTGAATTTCTTTTTTAGTTCACATCAATGAAACAAATATCTTTAAAATAATTTACAGCAAAATAAGATTTTATTCTAGGATTTTTTATATTTCATTGTCTAAAATGTTAGACTCTTGTGTTTGCATTTTGGCCTCTACAGAGCTGACTTAATATATTGCCTAAACAATAACTACAAGAGAGTCAAGACTGAAGTTATAGCTTTTGTAAGACAAATCTTACAGAAAATAAAACACAAATAAAAAACAACTCTGTGTGGAAGGCTCTACACAGAAAAAACTACTGCCCACACACTAAGTGCCTCGTAGGCCCAAGTGTTTTTCATTGTTAAACCAAAGCTGTATCTGACACCACATATAAGTTATCATTTGTCACATTAGATCTGCAGGACTTCTTTTGCTGACAGAAAATTTCTGTACTTTGTGTATGCTTATAATTACAACGGCCTAAAGGACATATGCAAGTTCTTGGCATAGGAAGAAGGGAAAATTTCTCCAAGAAACCAATTTCTCCATGAAAATCCATCCTCCCCAGGGAATTTGCACTCATTAATTAGAGAATAAAGAGTGTAACTTCATCTATACCATAGATATATGTGATAGAACTTTGGAAATCTCAAGAAAAATCTGCATTTTTCCTTAATTAAAAATAGATCAGGTGTTTGAAAAATGAACCAGACATGAAGGTGAAATAATCATGTTATAACCAGGTAAGAGAGATTATTCCTGTTACAATAAAAGTTGTCAGAGCTGTTTGGTATTAAAAGAAGTGCAATTAACTAATGATACTACTAAAGGATATTTACAACAGAATTAATCTCAAGGGCCTCCAACACCTCAGTGCTGCTCACCATCACAACAAATACATCACTAGGTACTTCCACACTAGGAACTACTTAATCAAAAAGAAGTTTGAGTGGAAAAACCTGTCCCTTGGAGAGGCCTGAATTGCTTCCTCAGGGAAATGCAGACACGGCAGTGGATTTAGGGCTTTATCAAAGAATTTATGCATCCAAATAAAACTCTTCTAATGTCATCCTGTCTTGTGACAACTTCAAAGGCAAGATCAACCATGAGAGAGTCGGCAGCACCCTGCAGAGTGAAGGCAGACCTGCCTCAAGTCACTGGCCCAGCTCAGCCCACATCTCTCCCATGCCCAGGACACCCAGGGCCCCCAAATCCATGAACACAGAACCCTGGCTGAACTCCAGCACCAGCCACAAGAATCTTCCACCCAAATCCACAGCATCCATCAAAACCCTTCCCAAACTTCGTTACCATTGTCCTCCTCCTCCTCCCAATCTCTTCATGTTCCACAAGCTACTGTTAATTCAATTTCTTTTAATACCAAGCATTGCTGTCTTTACTCCAGTAAATGAACTCTTTACCACTCTCATTTCAGGACAGACTCTACACCACTGGCACCAGTTCTCCTTCTGGATAGTCTGAATGATTTGTTTCTAACTAAAGCCCAAGCAATTGTTCTCAGCTTGAATTCAGCTTTGAACTTAGCTGTTAATCCTTCTGTTCTGAAGAAGAGTTTGACTGCCTGAAGGCGCGCTGGAAGTCTTGAAAAGTGACATTTCACCATTTGATACTTTACATTTGAAAGAAGTAAAGAAGACATAAAAAATAAAATCATTCTATTTACATTAGGAATTCAGGCAATGCAGAGTATGATAATGGCATAGCATCAAAACTTTTTTTTGGTAGCTGATTAGGCATATTAATTTTGTTATTAATTTTGTTCAACTCTGGAAAGGGAAATGATGTCTGTTTCCAAAGAGTACTTTTATTTTACTTCAAATTCTTACTTTTTTTTTCTTATGCAGCACATAGAAAAATACAGCAATATCAAATTACAACACACCAATGAAATATATACTCCTTAAATTTCTGAAGACTATAACATTCAAATATGCCACCAAGAAATCAGTGAAGTCACAGGCTGTCCCTCCAAATATTTCCAGCATCACAGACCACAAAATGCAACTTTTAGAAGAGTAATTTACTTGCAATTTTAACACACTTAATTTGAATTTGTAGAAATACTAAAGGCACTGTTGGGAATGTCTCTCTCAATTTGTGTTAAGTGACATACATTTTTTGTTATAGAAGCACCTCTCCAATGATTAGAAACATTTCTGGTCATTACTGGTTTATGTTTCCCGTTTTTATAACTCCCTCTTTATTTTGTACCTGTTCTATAAGGAAGAAATGTAACATCTTTAGTGTCCCACAGGTATGGAAGTCATCTGAACCATTTACAGCATAAATGCCACTCTCTGATCTGCTCATCCTGGGCTCCTTTGAAGTCAGAGGAACAAAACCAGGCATGGTTTATATCTAAATATATATAATATATGTACCTTTAAAGGTCACAGGAGCTTTGTTCTGTATGTGCCAGCCTCTCCATACACACAGCCTAGGTGAAGATAAACTGCTTGCTGTGCATTGCAAATATCAACTAAGTGACAGATGTCACAGGAAAATCTACAACAACAGAAGACATAAAAAAGTAAAACAAAAAACACACAAACCAGGTGCTTGGAAGGGTAAAACATACTAACCTGATTCTGCTTTCTTTGCTCTTGCATGGCTTCTGAAACAGCCTGGGCAATCTTCTCTTTATGGCTATCACGTTCTGCTTCCCACAGTTTTCTTTCTTCTGCATGAATCTTCTCCATATTTCTCCTCTCCTCCTCTACTGCTTTCAGAACAGCTTCCTGCACTACCTCTTTTTCAGCCTTTGAAACAGACCAGGCACAATTAGATGAGCAACACATCCAACCTGAATGACTCATATTTATCACCTTCACAAGATATGGGATGTGAATATTTTCACTTCTGAACTATGAGGTTCAATTTATCTTAGATTGCTACCAAGCAGGTATTACCTCTTGGCAATGACTTATGTAGTTACAGAAAGCAAAAAGGAAGTTACAGGAAAGCTCTTAAATTCCACCTACTGAAAACACAGGCATTCATAACTACTTTGCTTAATTAAAAAAAAAAAAAGCAGCAAAACCCATGCTAGAGTAGGCACATCATGGGCTTCTTTTGATATCCCCATGAAAGAGATATTCCTGCTCTTATCTGCAAATATCTGAAGAGCAAAAACTGTCTGAGTCCTTTCTGTAGAAAATAAGCCAAAGTACATTTGTTAAAACAAATGTCTTCCCTTCCAAAGCTCCTTAGACATGCTACAAGAAGTACTGTTTTATTCCTCTTATTATTTATTATTATTTTATTAATTTTTTATTTATTATTTTATACTGTTTTCTCCCCAATCATTATATTCAACCATTATGTGAAATAACTGAGAATTTGAAGCCAACAGCTCCACACATATGTAGCCACACTAATATATTTATCAGCAAGACAACCTCTGCATAATATCGACAAATATAAAATGGCAAACTGAAGTTCAAAATAAGCAAACATGGGCAAAGAAAACTTAATCACAAATCCCTCAGCTTAAAAATACTGTATTCATCAGATACCTACACTTCCAACTAAAGCTGTTTCTTTCAATTCACTAAGACTTGATTTTCTACTTAGATATTAAAAATACAATAATTAAATTAGGATGTTTTATTATACACACATTTTCCTGTAGATATCAATCACATAAGAAATGTTTGTGCTACTACTGAGTGCTATTCAGAGAGGTGCTCAGCCAGTGTTCATATATTACACAAGAAGGACATACAGAAAATTATAATATAGCCTGATTCCAGGTAATACACACCACTAGCTTCCCCAGATCATTACATGCAACTGAACTTTTGTACTGGATTCTACACCAGTATTAGAAATTAATTCCAGGTTAAAATTTACAAAATTGTTCTCCTAACATCAATGCACTTAATAGTGAAATAGGCAGGAGAAATCATATTTAAAAACTGAATAGTTACTTTTAGCCAAACATCAGTATATATAAAATAACTCAAAACCTGTTAAACTGTCTCTGTTTGTATATGATTTTAATAATAGTTCTCTCCTCTGATGATGGCCATACTCAATGAAAGTTAAATAAGACACGATTGTTTTTTTTAAGTTCATCAGTTGACCCTGAGACCTAGCTCTTCAAATCAAAATGCACTGATGTCAAAGGACCACAAAAATAAATATTAGGTAACAGCAGTAACTGAACTGCAATTTTGTGAATTCTTGTTATCTTCTTATAAACAATTCAGAGGCTATTGTCCAAGAGAAGGCTGCTAATCTCTGCATCAAGGCATGTGATATAGCAGATACGTTCATCTTCAGTAGAATCAGCTTCTTCTAAGCACAGATGAGAACTCAGATCTTGATTACTATAGTTATGACACAAAAGTGAGTGTCTGAGCTTGGCATTTCTAATGACACACATGGAATCCACGTGGCATGACCACTAATTGATGAGAGATACCTTTGCAGCAGCTGCCAGTGCCTCCTTGCCTCTCTGTCTTTCCTCATCCAAACACTTGTCCAGCACTTCCTGCAAATGTTATGAAAAATTAAACGGCAACAGACAATAAAGGAGTGGCTGAAAATAATTTCAAACAGTCAAAGTGCTTAAGAAAGCTTCCTCCTCCTGTCAGTGACTGTGTATGGATCATTCCCAATAAACTCCATGATGCTGGAGTCTTATTTTTTGGTAAACAAAAGCAGTACCTTGTGCCTTTGCGACTGCTGCATCATAGCTTCTTCTATTTTCTCTGACAACACCTCTTTTTCTGCTTCCAAAATGTCAAGAAGTCGCTGGTGCTAAAGGAAGAAAACATTAATATTTTACTAACCATGGCCAGTGAGTAAAACAGACAAAAATAATTCATCCAAGACACTTAGACTTGTCAGTTACTCACAAAATTATTTCAAATGTAGATTTAGTTAAATTGCATTCACAGCACTCCTTTAAGTGATTTCATGTCATGGAAAAATTCCAATAATAAGAAATATTTCATTTCCTGAATAATTAATATTTCCTTTCAGTGTAAAAAGTATTGTAAAAGAAGTTGAAAAATTAATCACTACATAAAAGCAACACTTACACAATTGATAAAGATGGCCTAAGCAGCACCACACTTTATTTCATTTAAACAGTTGCAGAATTTAAATTAGTCTTGCACTACCTCAGTTGTATGTACAGAGAGTAGAAGGCAAATGTATTTCTTTCAACCATTTGTGATATCAAAGCCTGGAGAGCCAGGAAACATGAACAAATGAGAATTCTGCTTTTTTGTCAATTTTTTGTTGTCCTAAACATTTTTTTCAGGAAGAAAATGAACTCTGAAGTGACCACATATTCTATATGCAGACATAGAACTATTGATAATGACATCAATTTTTTTTCTCTGTATCAAGTAAAGAATTTGCAGGATGTGGGTTTTGTCTCTAAGAGCTAAGCTGTTTCCCAAAACCAAAAAATTACTGCTGAAAGTTATTGATGCTACATATTTGTCATGATATAATTGCTAGCAAGTCATTACAATTTTTAACAAGTTATTCAAGAGATGATCTATTATAACCTGAAAGTACAGCCTCAATGCAATAACATTTTATAAGATCACCAAGAGGAAAGTTACAGTAGAGTTTTTTATTAGTATAAGTGTATATAGCAAACATAATTTTTTTACACATACAGTTAAGCAGGCAAATCCCTCCCTTCTTTCTAAGAAACAGTAATTTCTGTTTCACAAATTTTATTATGTTTTAATTTCAAGTGTCTCGAATGGCAGCTAGAAATACATTACCAAACTGCAATACTATGTTCTGAAAAATATTTTTTCATTTGAAGAATAGAAAACTTTTAAACTGCTTTATGAAGCAAAACGCCTATCTGCCCTTCCAGGATAAACATGTAAAGAGGCATTTCCTTGTGAATTTACTTAAAATAGGTCTGAACGTGGTAGACATATTCTAATGGAAAACACCTGTGGAAGGAGTAGCAAAATTCACATCATGTTTATACTTAATGATGTGTAACTCACTTTTCTTGTGTTTTCAGACATCAGCTTTAACTATCAGGACACTTACAGAAATTACATTTTCCCAGTAACGCAAGGATGAAACAATAAATGGATTTTATTAGTTAAATGCTCTCCATGACTCTTCACTTGACTAACTGCACAGGTTACAAATGTGTTATTTCACAATGACACAATATAAAACAAAAATATGCAAATATTTTTGCAGACATATGCACAAATCCAAGCTCACTAATCATGCCAAGCAAAACACTGAATCTTTATTTTGCTTGTTGAGAAGCAGCACAGGAGATTCTAAGGAGAGTCCCTTAGAGAAAACCACCTCTATCTTGAAAACACCTGCAATAAAATTTGCAATAAAAGTCAGTTTGTTCAGTGAGATGAGACTTTCTATTTTACACCTGGCAGAGAATTCCAGCTTGACTCTGACCATCTGATTTCCAGGTTTTATATGAAGACTGTCCATCAGATTTCTGGGTTACCTGTATCCACATTTCAAGCTGCCACAACAGGCCAGCTACCAGATGTATTTCACACCATTCTCAATGGGACCAAAATTTTCAGCTTCTAAACTCCAGAAGAGTTTTAAAATTTTATTTTCCATGTATGTATGAAAAGGCATTCAAGCCCACCCTGGAAGCCCAGAAATGCAGATATTTGCATTAATGCAATATAGAACATGTACACATGGCCAGTGGAGAAAATCAATGCCAGTCCCCCCTGATGATGAAACACTTTGATGACCAGAGTGCTTCACATAATCTAAACCTCCATGCAGAGTTAACTTCTCACTAACCTGTCAGGAACCTGCGATTCTGCAATTTTTTTCAGGATAAATGCAAATATCACAGATATCACAATCAAAACTCTATCTACAGAAAAGTTGCCTAGTAAGTCAACAATTCCAAGACCCTGAAGGCTGCTGTGACTGAAGTGTGATTAGTTTGATTAAGTTAGGCTCTCCTATTTCCTTGGTGGACTAGAAAATCTATATGGTATTGCATTTGGAGTTTTATGGAATTCACAGAAACTCAGCGAGAACTTCATGAAGAATTGCATCTGTTTATAAAAACGTGTTAGCTCATATTTTACAAGATACCAGAGGCAAGTATTTTTAAAGGGAATTTAGAATGCTTTCTAAATGTCCTTACAAATAAAAACCCTAAATACAAACCCTATTCGCTTTCAAAGTAGAAGCTAATAACTTCTGTCATAATTCAATACAACTTATTTTATAAAATACAACTTATAAAATAGTATCATTACTTCTCATGGAAATACAGAATTTATAATTTCAATACTGTAAGTCTCTTGTGAATAGCTAGGTATGTCCTTTCCTGTTGTAATATAAATGCTTATTCATGTGGAATAATCTTCCCATAGATGATTACTTTCATATCTGAACTTCCAAAAGATCATTTATCATCACAAACATTGCAACAGCTGTCCATTAAACCCAGTAAAGCAAATTATCTTGTATTAGTCCCAGAGAAATACCTTGGAGAACTGTTTGTTTAGCTTCAGAATCTACATTGGGTCATTCTTGTTTTTCAGAGAGAGACATATCTTAAGCTATTGCATTACATAAATTATATGGGAAAAAAATGGAAATGGAAAAAACAGAATAAAATATTATGTGAACTGCTTCTCCCTCAAACAGATCTTAAGTCCAGAAAACTCATATGACATAATTTGTATGGGTACCACATGAAAGCTTCCATTCTGCATATAATTAATATGCAATTTAATTACTAATAAAGAATGTCTTGGTTTTCTCCCCACACTATGCCCCACAGCAGTGTTAGTCCTCATAGAGAGGCATGGAATGTCCTGAAAATATGTGGTTATTAAAATGATGTGGAATTATTGGTGGTATTAATAATCCATTTTCTAGACAAGAATGTACCCAAATGCATTCTGAATTCATTATTTCATAAGCACAGATCTTTCAAAGGCATATTCATGGGTCTTGGTTATGCCTATCACTTGAGCAGGAAATCTTGGAATTTATGGATAGTAAAGGCTTCTGTCAACAAAAAAGTTTTGGTTCTTTCTGTATAATGACAATGCTCAGACAGACTTTGGCAAAAAAAAAAAGAAGCAGTAATTCAAAGAAAGTTATTAACAATTGTATCAAAAGAATTCCAAGCTGTTAGTTTCAATGGATCTGCATCACAAGCTATTCTAAGCCTTTTGGAACTATTCTTTAGTCTGGGCAGCTAGGTTGGTATTTCAGATTTTAAAATAATCCCTACACCCTTTTAAGTAGAAATTATTATAGAGAAGCATTTGGTACATTGAATTTCTAGACATGCAGAATGACTTTAGAGTCTGGTACCCAATACTCCCAGTGAACTTTACATACGATCAGTGCTTCCTCAGTTGGTCTTTCAGATAAATTTATTAAAGAGAGTTGAAGGTTAAAAACAAACAGAAGGTATGAGTTTCACTTCAGCACTTCCACATCTGAGAGCTTTCAAGTGTCCTTGTATTTTTAGTTAACAGGAGATTACAAGAAGTTTTATGTTCATTTATTTGGCTTGTAGATTTTTGTTCTGCTATGGTAAAGGCCTCTGAACAATAGACCACTGCAGAATTAAAGATCTCTTGAGTTAAATGGCTACAGCTAAGCAGCTTTATCTCCCAAACCCTCCCTTTTCTCACCAGGAATTAAAGCCAGACAAAGGGTGGGAGTTGAATGAATCTCATTCAGCATTTGCAGTTTCGACAGGTAAGAGTTATCAACACATTCCTCTCTCTCAGACATTATTAAAGGAATAATGGAAGAGTTTTGAGACTTCAGGTACCACTCTGAGCTATATATACCCTGAACTCTAATTCCCAAGCAATGGAGAGGCCACTTTCTCCTGGTAATTGTACCTGTCAAGAACACACTGCCCATGCTTCAAACAGTAAACGGAATAAAAGCTTTCAAGGCAGAGTGATCTGTCTCCTGTAAGTAGGATATAATGAGTTCATCAGACCTAACAGTCCTGTGAAAAGTAACTAAGTGTCTCCCAGGTTTCCTGTAAAAGTTAGGATGGTGATTTACAAAGGAAGCCTTAAATTTGGAAAAAAAGCAATTAACCCCCGCAAAGGCCCATGAAGTTTTTAAACAGAAGTTGAGGTGATGGTTTCTTGTAATAATCAACAACCTCAGAAGCAGAAAAAAGGTAAAAAACCAATCTAGCATGTTGGAACTTTGAATCCAATTATCCAACTGTTAGTAAACAAATATACCTTAGTGAGTTTCTGGAATGAAGAGTAAAGATAGAAACTTACAAAAAAGTGATGGCTACAGAACTGGAAATATGGTGCATGAATCAGTGAGGCACAAAAATAAAATGTCAGTGAAAGCTGCCCTTTGTAGCATCAGGGAAGTTTTCACCCAGTGTAAGTTTCCCAGGCTGCACATTCACACTGTGTGTGTTATCTATAAGGCACAGCAGAGAGTTGAACACAACATAGAGACACCCAGAGAGAGCTAAAGGAACTTTATCTTAGGTACAACAAATACTGCAGCTCTTCAGTCTATCACTTTACCTGGGTTCCATAGCCCAGCACTCTCACTTCTTTCCAACAAAGCCATAATTTACCTTCTTTTATCCCTTAGACAGTGAGTTTAGGGTTAAGAGTGCAAAATTCTGAGTTGTAGAAATTCTGAAGAGCAAATTGTCTTATGACATGATGGCCCAGTAAACCATAGGAAAGAGATTTCCAAAAAAAATAGAAGAAAACCCCCAAACTTTTCTAAGACGTTGTATTCCACAGTGGAGAGAA